CAGCACTTTCGGCTATCGCTTGATCTCTGAGGGTGAGCGCACGGTATCAAGTGTACAGATCTATGTGAAGAGGAAGGTTTTATTCATCAGTCATGTAGCTATTTCTTTTTTTAATCATGTTTATAGTGTACAACATCTGAGCCTAACTGTTGCTTTTGCTGATGAATGCAGGTTGCTCTTTAAATATTAACAACTGTAGAAAAAAGCCGCCGGCACAGTTTATTTCAAAAAGGTATTGCATTTGTACTAAAAGGCATTATCAATATAAATTGCACATTCGAGATGCTGTAATTAAGCCAATGTTAAAATGCATTTTAAGTACAGAGTATAAAGTATTTTTTTCTAGACTTACGGGAAATGTATATTCTTTGAGTTTTGTTGGTTATCTGTGTTTTTCTTCATTGTTTTTTTTACTATATTGTGTATGGAATATATTCTTCAGAGTAGCGTGTCGTTACAGTCTACTTTTTGTTAATATCTATGTAAATATTTCAAAAAAACATTTGTTATGCATTCCCAAAATTTACTTGACAAAAGACTGAGTACAACATATGTTGAAGTTCTGTTGATATTGGAATAAAAACACAGACACACACAACTGAAAACTTTATTTTTCTGCTTTGTTAATATGTTATAGAAAATAGATTTTTAAAAAAGGGCCTGGAAATGAGAACATTGCAGCCCTACAAACTGTTCTGCAGGCTATCGTAGTTCTTGGTATTGAAATGATGCTTTTGCATGAGAACAAAAGGGAAGATTTGTATTGTTTCTACCTGTTTGCCTGGATGTTCTTTTCAGTACTTCTGTTTTATTTATTTTTTTCACTCGCTTTCTGTGAGCCAGTTCGCCTCTGTTTTCTCTGTTTTCAATTTCTGTGGTATTCTGTCATTCAGTCAGCAGAAATTCCTGCAGGGCCAAGCATGCAACAAAACACTGTGAGGGGGATTTACCGGCCATGCATTAGCCCTTTAAAGCATGAATAAATGTCAAAAAGTTTAATGGTATACAGTTAGTGAAATTAAATACATGAATATCATTTATATGTGATAAATATCATTAGCTTAAATTCAGATTCAAATATAACTCTAACCATGAGCACCAGCCCACCACAGTTCTTTACTGAAAACGTACGCAGCACACCAAGCTAACCTGTTACTCCTTCACGAAACCGCCGAGCGTTTTCATGCGACTGCTGAGTAAGGCCTCGGTTTGTTTTCTGCAGGACTGTTCACAATATGAAAACAACTTCACATCATGCACAGATCTGTTATCTGATTTAAAACATCAGGACATTACACGAAAGCTTTAAATTTCCACTTCATCAAATGTCACTGAGCAGTCCTTACTTTACCATATCTAACCTCTCTTCTTCCGTCCTGTCTTCCCCCTCTCTGGACGCCGTCTCTGAGTGAAGTTAGCTCTTTCTTCTCTTTCCCTGTGAAACACAGCAGCAACACATTGTGTGACAAACTGCACACAAACAGTTTGTGTGTTTGCTGTTAGCAGATAGAAAGTTTACATTTGAAATGACCTGGCTCCATTTATGCTCTCTCCTATCTGTAGCGCTGGCTAGATGCTGACATAAGGAAACCACAAATTCTAGAAATCTGCACCAAAAACGAGGTTCCAGATCCACTTTAATCCTCAGGATGGTGTCATAAATCAGTTTGATGTTTGCAGGCTTCCAGTGATGGCAAATAAAAGCTTCCCTCTAACGTGTTAAACCTAAAGTAACAAGCTTGTTTTGAAAATGTGGGGAGTAGAAAGTAAAGATATTTGTTTAAAAATGTAGTGAGTGAAGTAAAAAAGTTTAGAAATGAATAAAAACTCAACCAAAGATAATTCAGAAAATTCTACCTAAGTACAGTAACAAAGTATTTGTACTCCATTACTTGCCCTCTCTGTGAATGTGTTACACAATCTTCCTAAAAGTATCATCCCAGCTAATTCAGCTCAAAATCAGACGCTGCAATGCTCAGAGGAACTGCAACAAACTCAAAATCAGCTGCACTGCCATTAAAACGTATTTTTTCCCACTTCCTGATTTCTTAGTTACTTTGTTTGTTTGTTTTTTTGCATATTTGTCCCATTTAAGTGTTTCAAATTTTAATATTAGACAAAGATAACCAGAGCAAATAAAAATTCAGTTTTTAAATGATTTCATTTATTAAAGGAAAAAACCATCCAGACCTGCCTGGCCTCATGTTAAAGGTTAAAGTTAGATAAAGACACATATGAGTTGTTTAGAACGGTTGCCTGGAGAAAGCCTTACCGAGGTCATTATTAGGGATGTGTGCAACACGACAACTGGACTAGTCGCACATAAATGACCAAAAGCCAGTATATTATTATTTTCTATATGTTATACAGGCATTTTCCGTTAACACTAATAAAATTAGATTTTGGGTGATGGAAATGAGCTTTTTCTGAATCATGGACGGGCTCTCCCTTAGCGTGAGGAGGTCAGTCATTTGGGAGCGACAGAGTAGAGCTGCTTCTCCTCCACATCGAAAGGAGCCGTCTGAGGCTGTCACCTCCTGGGTAAGAGATCGCATCTGTCGGATGGCCGGGGAACCACTTGATGTTTTTCCGGATAAGCTGGAGGAGGTGGGGAGAGGGAGCTCTGTACTTCCCTGCTTTGCCTGCTGCCCCCGTGACCTGACTTCAGATAAGATAAGGAAAATGACTGGATGACCTTGAGGTGACTTTTGTTGTGATTTGGCGCTATATAAATAAAATTGAATTGAATTGAATGACGTATGTTTTGTTATTTTAAATTCAAACTTTTATTGAAGTGGTTATTATGACTTTTAGAACAACGTGGATCATCTATAATTGACGGTAAGTAGTAAGTAGTTTTTTTATGTGGTGCTTTTCACAGACATCACAGTCACGAACAATTCAAACACAATATCAAAAGAATAAAGGCCCGATTAAACAGAAAAGTTTAGTTGTTTTAAAAAGAAAAAAGACTAAGAGGCTACAAGAAAATATAAAATTAAACTTGTTAATTAGACATGAGTGTTTACCAGACAAGCAAAGTCACAAAAAATCCTACTGGCTGCGTTTTAGGATAGTTGAAGCCGGTGTTTAACCCACACTGGAGATTAAACATCAGGATATTTCAGTCTCTGCTGCTTCAATACTGGACCTTATTTGAAAAAATCTATTTTGAGTTTCTTTTCGTTCCGTTTGCGTTACAGTGAAATACTACTGTTAATGGCGTAATCGTTATATTTCTGTCACTGAAGCGTGAAAACATTTTTACACCCTGAAGTGATTGTTAGACATCCGAGTCATTACAGAACAGGAACTGGCTTTAGGGTGGTATGCTGTCTTTCCTAACTGTGGCCTGTGCACAATAGTTAACCTTTTACCACCCACTCTTCAGCATTTTGAACTTTCCCTTTAAAGCTGCTGGTAGTATATGTGGTGAAAAACACAGCACTGCAATGAAATGAATGAACAAAAAGACCTTTAGAGAGGCCACTGTTCAAAAGATGGGGAAGATTATTTTCAATCAATACATGTTTTACATCTCTGTAAGCTTTTGTTTTGTCTATGAAGTTGGGCGAGCAACAGTTCTGGCAGATTTTCTCACAAATTATGAGATGTTCATTCAAATTTGATGCATAGCTACAATAATTTTTGATTCTTTTGATACCTGCTGGCTTTTCCTCTGAGGCACTTTTACCTTCTCTATTCTCTTCTTCCAGTTTGCATTGCACTTTTTCTTTTGATCATTTGGCTGGGAGTTAGCAAGTGGTTCCAGACAAGCATGAAAAGCTACAGGCAACCATAGAAATCTGCTAGCAAACAAAGCAATCACTGATCAGCTGATCTCACCCACAGAGTGCCAACAACCTCCAGAAACAGCTGCCAAGCCGTTGGGGAATACACATTTCCCTAGAAACCAGTGGTTGTACCACGTCTAGTATATGGTGGACAAATCTAGAGCTATGTGTGCATCGTATTACACCAGAAACCTTATAGGTTATGAAATGATTTAACCACATGGAACGCAAACGCTTCCACTGTGTCATTGTGTAACAAAAACTAAAATGGAAAACTGAATGTAGAGCTACTTTAGCAACAATAACTTGAAGTGTTTTGTGTCAAATGTTTTTGTGAAGGAATTTTGTCCCTCTCGTATTTACATCGTTGCTTCAGTTCTTTGGAGTGTGCTTGGATGAGGAGGACCTCATGGTCAGCTCAAAGGTCCTGCCTTACTAACTGTGTGCATGCACGTGAATGCAAATCAGTGATTTATCAATATTTATGTACCTAAATTTGTTTAGATTTGTACTTTATGAACAAAATTAGAAGTTCCTCTGACCATCTAGATCAACCAATGATGGCCTGGTGGAGTGAAAGGTGTAAGCTTGAACCTTTTCAGTCTAGATATTCCAGTATTGCTTATCTCATTTGATCTTATCTTAAATTCACATTGTTTATATCATTGCTTGATGTTGGTTTCTTCTTTTTCTTGTAGTTTAGACAGGTTCACACATCACTGTGAGTGCTTCAGGGGAAACAGTATTCACAACCTTCGTTATTTTAACCAGAGCCTCGAAACACTCAAAAGTTGTTCCTTTTCTGGCTTCCTCTTCGGACAATTATTTCAGCTTTTTTCAGTCAGGACTTTCTATGACTTTCCATTTAGAGGTGCGTGCTTCTGTCTTACAACATCGTCACTGCTTTATTTTCTTCATCTGAAGGTAAATGAATTTGCTCATAGAGAGCAGATTGTGGTTGTGCAGATTGTATGCAATTGGTAAACAGGTACAGGCCTATTGGTTCAGACTGACTCTGATTTATTAACATGTTAATGGTGGTAAGAACAATATAGGACAGATCAAAGAGTCATTTTGCTTTCACACTTTGGTTTTTTGTGCAGTTTAGCAACATTGTTGAGCACATATTAGTAAATGCGCTCCATAGTTCCAGAAGTCCAGTCGTTTTCTCCCAGCAGCCTTTCCAAACAAGCCTCTTGGAGCCATTAAAGGAACTGCAGTTTTTGGTACTCTGACACTGGCTTCAGCTTCAGCCCGAAGGTTTGCTAATGGGGAGTACATCTGTCTCAACACAAGTTTCAGTTTTAATATATTGTTGTATGGTTTGAATTTTACTACTAATTCATATTCTTAACAACTCACACTGAAGACTTAGTTTGGCAAAAACATTGCCGTCCAGGATAGTGTAAGTCCAGCGATTGTAGTTTACATTGTGAGATTTTAAAGGACCACGTGACAAGCTACAAAGGGTTGCAAACATAATAACTTCGTAGTTTTTAGACTTGTGATACGCAGAAAAGACAAAAGTCTCAGCCAAACACAGAAATGACTGGGCCTGGAATCAGTGGGTCAATATCAAAAAGTGCTGAGCAAAAAGGAAGAGTATTTATATTCACTCTATTATAAAACTTACAACATATAATATAAAAGAAGACCAGGATTACAAACCTCTTAACATCCACCAGGTTGCTGGAAACCCAGGGTTGAGTTTAGTTAACCACCTGTTTCTACAGTATTTGAACCTTTCTGAAATGTAATGTGCAGATTCTAATAAAATGCCTGTTTAACCTAACCCTTTACCAGTTAACTTTGTAACCACTAAGGATTATGGCCACTAAGACCCTAACCCTAACCTGTCACCTAGTTACCTGGTTAAGAGACTAAGGGGGAGAGGGCTCACAAACATTTCCAGCTCATCGATAGATAAATGAGTATTTACTTGGAAATGCAAGTGAAATTCTCATGCGTGTTAATGACAAATAAGAGTGTATTAGACTGCTCACACGTGCAGTTACTGATTGGATGCCGCCCTCTGTTGACACTGAACGGAAATGACTTTTTCCCCATATTTTGGCTGCTTTTTCACTCTTAACCAAGCGGATATTTTGTGAACATCTGTATTTATACGTTTCCGAATCATTGAAAGATCATTTAAAAGCATGTAATGCTGTAAGTTCACTGCTTCTTTTAAACCTTCGCTGTAACACCTGTGCATTCAAGAAAGATAAGGAGAAATTCGGGATTAACTGTTAAGTTAAACCAAGTAGTTCACAAGGCTTCGTAAAACAATGTCATTAAACCCTGTTGTATCATTCATTAACACATTTATTAATGCATTGTTATAACAAGCTGGTGAGAGGGTGGTGGACTTGTCGATAATGACCTCTGAATATGGAAATAGCTGTCATTTCTAGATCGGTTGTTACTTCTAACACGTTTCCATGTAGCAGATGGAAAACTGCTATCAAGAACACTATTTTTGCACATTGTACAGAGACTCAACTTTGCACCTTCGCTCACCCCCTCCCTCCACAAATCAGGAAGGAACGCTTTTACACCCAAAGAGTGAAACTTGCCAAGATAGTTCACATCCAACCTTGAGACAGTTCTCAAGGCTAGCTTCTGTCCCATTAGCTTTTGCAGCTCAACACCAACCATTGTGTTGAGTCTTTAACTCAACACATTTCAGCAGTAGGTTTTAAAAATGTGACATTTTGATTCCCAATCTCACTGCTTCTAGCTTTTATACTAAAGAAATAGCCACACTCATCTAAAAACTGGAGCGGTAACCTTAACATAACATCTATCTCTACCCTAAAGTCACAAGATAATGAAACAGACAAACTGCAGTCTGGAGCAACAGCCACAGAGTCATGAAATAAAATAGCCATCAATATATTTGGATTGATATCGCATCTTTTAAAAAAAAAATTTAAACAGAACTACCTTCCACATCCATATTTTTCACTTCTTGACCAAATCTGATCACAAATCTACAGAGCTAACGGTCATGTTTCATATACAGTCTCTGTATAAAAGGTCTTTAATTTTCTGATTTTATTATTATTATTTTTAATTCAGGCAAACAATAACAACAACAACAATAACAAACAAACAGCGAAGCACCGACAGTGTACTCTCTTGCTTCTCACGTGTGCCTCTCGAGCCTACGTGCCTGTGCGTCATATCGTCACGTGCTTTCCCTCTTGCTCTCCTCCGGTACAGACTAAGGATCGCAGTCATGGCTCCGTGAAGCGACACATGGCATCTTGAAGCCATGAACCAAATGAATAAACACAACAAACAACAACAACAACTCACCGGAAAGCGGACACATTTAAATAGCAGGCGTGTTTGATTTCATTTGTAATCACAGCAACTCCGGTAATACCTGCAGCTAGCAGTCAGTCACACTGGGGGAGAGGCGCACTGCAACCTCCCCCGGTTTATTTTCCTATGATAGTCAGCTTTCTTTACTGTCACTTTTAAGTTTCCGTCTTTTCTAAGAGAAGCTCGACATGGGTGTGCAAGGTTTCCTGGAGTATATTGAGAAGCACTGTCCCAACGCTGTGGTGCCGGTGGACCTCCAGAGGTTGGCCCGGGGGAGTTTGGTTGGAGGTGGCCGGCAGAAACCCCCTCAGAGTCCGCTTAGGTTGCTGGTGGACGCCGAGAACTGCCTCCATCGACTCTACGGGGGCTTCTACACCGACTGGGTCTGCGGGGGCCAGTGGAACCACATGCTGGGCTACTTGGCCGCCCTCTCCCAGGCCTGCTTCAACGGGAACATTGAGCTCCTGGTGTGCTTCAATGGCGCCCTGGAGAAAGGCCGTCTTCACGAGTGGGTCAAGCGGCAGGTGAACGAGAGGCAGACCGCTCAGCAGATCATCAGCCACGTCCAGAATAAAGGCACCCCACCGCCCAAAGTCTGGTTCCTGCCTCCCGTGTGTATGGCCCACTGCATCCGACTTGCTCTCCTCAAGTTCCGCGTCGGGGTGAGTGGAAACTCGGCCCGGCAGTGTCTGCCTGTTGAGCTGTGGACACAGCCCTTGTTAGCCTGCTAGCTGCCCACCATGTCACCACAGCATCCTGACCCACGATACGATGCTGTTCCCACACTTAGACACGTTCTAACCTGCTCTGCGAGGGTGGGTGACTGGTATCCAACAGGTTGCTGGCCTGAGTCCCAGTTCAGATGCTGCCCCCCTCTGTCAGCGATCACTGTTTGTCCTCTGACAGAAGTAAACAGAGTGAACACAAAGATGTCCAGACAGGTTTGGCATAAACGAACAAGTCCCTGTTTCACTGGAAGAACGTAACTTCATGGCTGAGGTTTAAATAATCTTAAAACAAACAAACGACTAACTGTAAAGATGCATTCGGCTCAGTTAATAAAACGATGAGCTGATGAGATGAAGTAGAAAGTTGTGACAGTGTCTCTGCCTCCACCTCAGCTGTGATTCCCGTCACACGGCTGCTCGATTTGTTGGAATCTGGTAAATTAATGCAGTACGCCACAACTTCACACTTACATTTAAGACTTGTAGTGTGTGTTCTTTTTAACACACACACCAAAAATAAAGCCCTAATTTTACCTGAGGCACAGACCTGTAGGTCGTTGAGGTCAGAAACATGTTTTCTGGCTCTTCAGAGCAATGGTAGCTTATTTAATCATTGCACTAAGTGATGTGTTGACAATATGGATCTTTCTTTTAGTAGCCTGTTCAAGCGTGACCACAAAGCAGGCAGCAAAGTGAACGTGAAAGTGTTGTGGTTACAGTGATTCTGCTGTAACAGTGAATACAGACACGGTACACGTTTATTATAAGGCTGTAACATGACAAAAAGTAATCAAGTTGTGTTTCTATTGTAATTTTCGGTCTGCCTACAGGATGATAACAGTGAAATAATAAAAACTAACTAGGAATGAGTAACTCCAGTGTGAAAACTTATGAGCAGACTCACCAAGCAGCTCACGAATGTGCTCCTCGATTGTAGTTTTCTTCCTGTGCATATTCTTTGAGTGCTTTAGCACACTGGCGTCTGTAAGGAGGTTTGTTTTGAGGCATTAGCTCAATTCTTGTCTGTGGCTCTCCTCAGGTTGTCCAGAGTGTGGAGGACCACCACCTGGAAGTGATAGCCTTATGCAGGAAGAGTGGCTTCCATGGTCTGGTGGCTTACGACTCGGATTACGCCCTGAGCAATATCCCATACTACTTCAACGCCCACATCCTCAAACTGAGCCGCAACGGCAAGAACCTCACCACCAGCCAGTACCTGATGCACGAAGTGGCACGGCAGCTCGATCTCAGCCCCAATCGTTTTGTCATTTTTGCATCGCTTTTAGGTTAGTGTTGTAGTTTGAGCAAGTAATGTTGGTGGGAGCGTTTGCCCCGGTTAGGCTGACTGATGCACGTTTTCTTTTTAACAGGGAATCACTTACTGCCTGATGAAGACTTGGCTGCCTTTCACTGGAGCTTACTTGGTCCAGAGCATCCCTTAGCATCTTTGAAGGTAAGGACTTTCTCTGAGAGCTGCGAGAGTTGTCGGCCTTGTGCTTAAATATTATGGTTACTGGTCATTTGTTTGCTCGTGCAGCGCACATCCTTGACTGATGGGAAGGAAAAGTGCACGTTTTGCATTCAAAGATATGGTAGCAAGCGCCAGCGACGCCTAGACTGAAGTAGCTACCAGCAACAGCGCAGGATCTCATTGATTTACATATGACCTGGTAGAAAACAGAGGCGTTACCTAGGCAACTGGACCCAAATTTTAATCACCAGTTATTAGTTAGTCTTTATTGGTACTCGCGTCTATGTGACACCACCCATTTGAGCACACCCCTACTTCAGACCAGTAGATGTGTTTGCATGGACTCGTGTCCTGGTTATAATAAAGTTTTTGAAGTATGTAGTTGTTTCGTTAGCGCATGTAAACATGATCAGATTATTTAAAAACTTTAATCGTTCTTTTTTGGTTTTGTTAAACCTGGATTTGGTAACGGGACTCCAGGTCCAGTCTCCGTCCCTGTACGTCGGCTTTAATTTGAGCGTTTGGCTCTCAGATTATTGTACATACACTGACCTTTATGTTTAATGTAAATTAACTAAAACTTCTACTACAAGTCTCATTAACCCAGTCACACACGCATTCATACAGTGTTTTTATCTAGCACTTACACTCACACCAGAGGCAATTCTGGGTTCACTGTCTTGCCCAAGGACTGTTCAACTCATGGACTGGAGGAGCCAGTGATCAACCCGCTCTGAGCCACAGCCACTCGCCGTGTTTAACATCACTGCTGTCATAAGGAAAAGCACACTTAGGCTCCCTTTTATGATGCTATCCTGGTATTAGTACCAGCAAGTATCAGCAGCTGCACTCAGGTAATAGTTATAGGTACATCTACCTATTTGTTTGTGTTTCTCGACATATCACACCTGCCTAAACTAACATCACACAGTTACCAGGATACTAGTATTTATTATGTACACATGCAGAACCCAGACATCTGTTTTCCGTGTAAACAGCGTTTCGCGTATATGAGCTCGGATAAACCTCATAATCTGCATACCCGGGTCCATGAAAGTCACAGGAACCACAGTGCTGTGTAGAAATATCCAGAGCATTCACATTCAAACAGGCATGTGCTTCATGAGTTTTATATCTGTTCTGTCACAAAGCTTGTTGTATTGATTCTGATGGCGTCTGTGTGACCGTCCCACAGAGTGTTTCAGAGCCATGTTTTGCAGGATTGGAAATCTTCAGTCTATGCACAGTTTGACACGGACAAAACCTCTTTGCTCAAAATAACAGTCTTCTCTTTCATATAGTAATGAAGCTGTCAAAATGCTCTCAAGTTGACAGCACACGATTCAGATTCTGTTTGTGGTGCTGCGGATGGGCGAGTTCACTTGGACGTGTATGGATGTGCATGTGATAAAAGATGACATGCAAAGTTCTCCTCTTTGTTTGACACATAAATGTCAGCAGCCTCACTTTCATCAATTCCAACTTAAGTGAGTTCATTGTCGTGGCACCAGAGAGTCTAATGAATAAAGTTCACTTGACACTGTTACGGTGGAATGATTCACAACATAAAGCACAATCTAAGCTTTTTGTACACGAGTGTTACAGTAGTCAACATTTCAGTT